TACTATCGACAATGTGTTATTTCGGCGATGTCACTATCGACGATGTGCATATCGGCGATACTATTTATTGATGAATTTCATTTTGATCACAAAAACTAAAATTATTAACTGAGTTGAGTTAGGAGTCAAGTTAGTAACTAAGTCAAGTCAGTAACTGAGTTGAAATATATCAAGTAATAAGGTAAGTATGCTCTTCGTCGAAACTAATATCACCGATACTTTTTTCGACGTATTTTTTTATCACCGTCGTTTAAATAATCGAAACTGTCAGCAATGCTTTTGAGACAATACGTAAATAGATTTCAAGTCTATGATAGATATTTAAAAAGCAAGCGCAAGAGATGATCGCTGAAAATTAGATCGTTGAAGTAAATATTGTGGGTAGAGATGTAAGCCGTGTGGCTGAGCCGCCGCCGCCGCCGTAGGGGCAAAATAATTAAAAATTTCTCAGCCGCCGCCGCCGCCAATGGACCAAAAACAATTAAAATTTTGGAGCCGCCGACGCCGTGACATTAATATAAATATTAGGTTTCCAAAAACTTTTAGTCTGACAAAAAAACATATTTGAATGTACCCACGAAGAAAGGATTTAAAACCATTCTATCTTATAGGTACCTTCATGAATATCTCGAGGATAAATATCTCGAATACGAATATCTCCTCTGCTCTCGTTTAGATCTCAAAAAAGAGAAGATCAAACTTTTTTGTTTTAGTTCTTATTATGCTAATATATGTATCATGAATCTTTTTTATTTTTTGCAAAATTCGTTGACATGATCATTAAGTTTTCAGAATAGACTTATAGAAGACCGATAGGGTGTCCCGTAAGAGTTAGCTCTTTATCAAATATGGCAGTAGCTTTAGATTAATTTCCAGTAAAGAGGGAACATATTTAAGCTAAACTTTTTCATTCATAATCAGTTCTTTTTGAAGCGATTTCGTATAATGATTAAGTACATATGGTTCTCGTGCAGTAACAACAGCTTCATATCTTTTAAGGGTCGAAAATGTTGGAGATGTTCACTTGTCGTTTGACAAAGATAGTTGTCCTGTTGTTGGATGCAATAAACAAACTTTCATATATTAGAGCAGATACAATGAAACATTATGTGTCAGCATTTTTTTTCTGAGGATTATAAACGTTTATAGTGTATTTTTCTTTGTATACTGTGTATTTTTCGATTCAACTGTTTCAAAAAAAGTCTGTTAATTATTGATCTGTTGAAAGCAACGCTTTATCCGAGATGTATCCAGATCGAAAATGAGTACAATACTAATAATATTTTTGACAAAGGACTGTCTCTCACGACAAATCTTAATGTTCTTCTACAAGTCTTTTCTGAAAACTTAATGATCATGCCGACGACTTTTGCAAAAAATTAAAAAGTTTCATGATACATATATTAGCATGATACGAACTAAAACAAAAAAGTTTGATCTTCTCTCTTTTTAGATTTAAATGAGAGCAGAGGAGATATTCATATTCGAGGTATTCATATTTGATACATTCATGAAGATATCTATAAGATAGAATGGTTTAAACCCTTCTTCCGTGGATATATCCAAATATTTTCTCACGTCAGAATCAGTTTTTAGGTTTCTTTCAACCTAGTCTCTTATTATAACGTTTTGTATTGATGTTCCTTTTCGTTTTTTCGCTTCAAACTTTCTCAAAATTGAAAAGTTTTTTGAAAAATAACTAAATGCAACTCCAGCCGCCGCCGCCGTAACCGTAAAAAATTTAAAAAATTTTCAGCCGCCGCCGTCGAAGGCTGGAAGTTTTTTTAGACGCCGCCGCCGAAGCACCAAAAATATTAACAATTTCGAGCCGCCGCCGCCGATCAGGGCGTCGGCTTACATCTCTAATTGTGGGTAATAAATGGTCGAAAAAATTCGGCGATCTTTATTTCGATGATGTGTATTTCGGCGATCTTTTTTTTTTGATTATGTTCCATTCGGCGCGAGTTTCGACGATCTCACTTTTCGGCGATCTACCATTCGGCGAAGAGCATTACATTCACTACAACTACCAAACTCGTAAATATCTATTTATTTTAATCAAGAATCCAGAAACTTTCAGAATAACTCACGTACAACATCAATTGACTTTGGTTTATTGAAAAATTCATTTAAATAGGAATTTCGCATTTTTTTTCAGTTAACTAACATATACCTTTGATTTCCTATCAAATATCACAAAGAATGTCTATTCAAGCTTTATGCATATGTCTGTTTATCTCCTATTTTCACATAGAGATGTTAAAATCAAATCATAAGAAAAGCGAAGAACATAAGGTATAAACTTTTATGAGATAATGAATGTCATTTTTTTTTCTGTTCTGAAAATTTATCAAAGATATAATGTAAAATACTCTTCGGTATCAATTAGATATTGCTTCTTTTTAGTTTTAAAATTGCCAAAAAACTTCTCTGACAGATAAGAACATCAAAAAAATAAAAACATTTGTTGAATTTTACCAACTGTTAAACAAACATATTAAAAAAGATGTTTTCTGTAAGTTGATCAATATTCATGTTCTGTTTCATACTAAGTTATTTTTTATCAATTGAACTCATATGTTTGCTATGTTTGTACGATAGTACATTGAATCTTTGTGAATTGTTATTAACGATCAATCTTACATCAAAATCTAATTAGATAATTAACTTAGGTATGATGTTATTGATGATGAACATATTGATTTGAATGAATTAACTATTTAGTTAATGGTATAATAAATCCAAAAGATGATCTCGATGCAAAAACTATTGTTATAGTTTTTTTCGACAGACTTGATGTTGATAAAAAGTAAAAAAAAAAAATATCAAACAACGATTTATTGATAGATACTATTTCTTTGTTTATCTTTCTCATTTTCTTATTGCTTAATATATATTCTTGGTGCAAAAAGAATTCTCATCACTTTAAGTTATAAACATATGTTATTTTTTATTTTTAATATTTTCAATTTGAAAAAAGATATGAATAATTCTATATAGAAGAAATTATTCTATACTTTTACGCTTCACATGATATATATTTCTAGTAAAAATGTATAAGTTAAATAATGTCTGACATTGTTCTAATGTTGATATTGTCAAATGTTTTGATTCATTTTAACAAACATTCGAGATTTTATCATTTCTTATTCTAATGTATTATTATAGACAAGATTTGATCTCAAGACGATTTTTGGTTTGTGAAGTTATTCGAAAATATTTCTACCAGATATGAAAATATCCATATGGTAATGATTATTTCTTATAAACTTATTAGTATGATTGATTGCCTATGATTGTCTTATTATCACTATCGTCATTGTTCTCGAAGTTTTCATAATAGTTGTATCAATTAAAAAACTTTTTCATGTAGATGTTTACATGAGAATAAAGATCGTCTTTCATGTACATTATTGAATAGCAATCACTCTGATTTGGAAACAGAAGAACAATGAACAAATGAAATAAACTATTGGAAAAACATACGAACAACACTGTCAATTTTTCATTGAATCTGGTTGTGTTAAACGTGAAACTGTCCATGTTGTGTAAGTGAATATTACTGAACTTTAATCTCATATAAGTTCTATGATCATCATCGATTTATAATTTTCTCTGTGAATATTTTGTTTTATTTGACAAAAAATGATTGTAAAAAAAAAAATAAATTTACTTATCTAATAAAATACTCTTAAAATAAAATCCTTGTTGATGTTATTCTCTGACGTAGAAATATACATTACATTTGACAAAAGGTAAATCGTATTGAATCTAAAAGAATATCCTCTTCAAGGTTTATCTAATCAATGATCAATATAAATTATATTCGGAACCATACACATAGAAAAAAAAAAGACACATAGACAAATAAAGCCAATACCATATACAATATATACCAACAACTGTCTGTAGTTGTTGAAACATATTTCTATGTAAGAAAAAAAAAGTTCACAAAAGGATTTATTATATACATGATCTTAAAATAAATTTTTAGTAATTAGTTGAATAACATTCTTTTGGATCTTGTTATTTGTCTTTCTTTTATATCAGTATTCGTAGTATTCAAACTCAGAAACTATTTTTCTTTTCATTTTTCACATACAGTTCTAATAGAAATTGTCTTTTGCTCATCTAATTATTGTGCTTTTGATAATGTAATTTCATGATTCTGCTACTATATTATATTGAAAAACTGTGAATTTATAATTCTATCAACATCTACTTGAACTTCCATTGTCTTAGATTTCATCTAAAACATAATTATTGACAAAAAATGACTATCTTCTCACACATTTTCATCATCTATATCTACGGTTTGAGTTACAAAACATTCATATATTCTTCTCATATATTCACTTTTGATAGCTAAGTAATATTCTTTTGAATATGTTCTTTTCATAAAATAAATTAAAGAATCATGGCAATCATAACAACATCTTTATTAAACTAATGGAATACCAATCTTACAATGAATAGATATCATTGAGAGACTTTTTTTTTTACAGGAATTGCCATCTGATGAAATCTTAAATTGAGAAAACAACTCAATTTCCTCTTTCGAAATATCTAATTGACATTTAAAATACAAGAATTTTACATTTTACACATTATAAAAGTAAAAAATTTATTAATTATTTTTATCGACACATATTACTCTAAATGTTGAATAGAAAGAGAGAGAGAAAAAAATATCATTCGATTAATTCATCATCAACTTAGATTATACAAAAATATATAATTGTTTTCATTGACGACATCAGTCAACTAAAAGACATGAGTAATGGTCCCTAACAGACTGAAAAAAAAACATAAAAAGAATTAATCAACGTGATTGGTCTATTCTGACTTAAATCATCTTTGTTATAGACGATTTATTCATTTATATTCATTGTCAATTCGTCTGATGTTTTTTTTCAGTCTCTTTAAGGCCTATATATATATGTAAAAGCAAAGCCATAACAAAAAAACATACGTGAAAATAAACATGGAAGATTCATTTATTCAATTGGATGATTTACCTGATGAAATTCTTACAATTATTTTGAAAAAATTGCCAAATTATCAGGTACTCTATTCTTTAATAGATGTTAATGAACGACTTGATACTATTGCTCAAGATTCAATTTTTACAAGTTATTTAACATTGGTACCATGTCGTAATGATTTAAAACAATTTACTAATAGAATGCTTCATCGATTTTGTGATAAAATTTTACCTATAATTGGTTATAAAATTCAATGGCTCAATGTTGACTCATCATTTATGGATCGTATTTTTCTTTCAACAATTTATCCTAATTTAACTGGACTGGGTTTATACAATGTTGCATTAGAAACAGCAAGAGATCTCTTTACTAGTAAGATATTTTTTCTAACTCTTTTAATGATTAATTATATAAGAATATTAAAATAATTTATCTTTATATGATCCATATTTGATTTAAGAAAGATATTTTTTGATAAAATACTTCTTAATATTTATCGATGAATTTTAAAAAAATTTAAAATAAAACAAGAGGGAAAAAAGTGGGACATCACGCTCCGAAATACAGATAAAGTATAGTGAAATACGATCGAAGTTTACTTTAGTCGTACTTCACTGTATTTTCAGCTATACTTCGCAGTGCGCAATTTCACTTTTTGCTCCTTAAAACGAAAGACATCACTTATAAGAAAATTCAAATGTTATTTTATAATGTCTTCAATTAAAATTTTTTGATTCTTAAAAAGAGAGAAAATCTGTAGTATAAAATAAATGATTAAGATTAAAAAAAACACATCATTGACGATAGTATATATATTCTATTAGAGAATTTTAAATGAAGATCATTTATTATTGATTTATTAATAAGGAAAAGAGAATTGAACATTTTAAATTAATCAACAAAATTGTTTCATAGAAATATTCATTATTTATTTAGATACAAGTTATTTTATTCATATTTTCGAAAATCAACTATCATCACTTGTTATTTATATTAATGAACGTGAAGAACCAAGAAGTTCAATCAAAGATATAAATATATTTCTATTTACACAAATCTTTGCTATGTTTAATAATTTACAATGTTTAAATTTGAATCCATTTGGTACTTGTGATTATCATCAATTAGCATTTGGTGTATCACCTCCAAATATTTTCTCTTCGACTCTTAGATTTGCGTGTTGTCGTCGATTCTTACGAAGATTGTCTCTATTTACTTGATGGTCGTTTTAATAAACTTAATAAGTTCAATGTTACCATTTGTTCATCTAATGTTCCATCATTGCCATTGATTAATAATAAAGTAAGTAAACGATATTAATATCTTTTGAATGAATGAATAATAATTATATTGATTAACTGTCGTTTTGCTTTGTAGAAAAAACTTTCCAATTTAAAATGCTTTCTGTTAAGACATAAATCGGTGTTATTGGTCTACAATACTTTTCTTATTCCACTTTTACATCGAATGTCAAATTTAGAAGAACTCAGTTTATATTTTGTCAATCATAATACACCAATTATTGATGGTAATGATTTGGAAATGAATATTATGAATTATATGAGAAAATTAAAGAAATTTAAATTTAATATTCGTTCAGTCATTTCTCTCAATAATCAAGTTTATTTACCATCACATGAATATATTCAAAATACATTTAAAAATTTAAAAAACAATCAAATTATTTCATGTATTGATTATTTTCCAAAAGCAAATGAATTTCATTGTCATATTTATTCATATCCATATACATGGAATTATTATGATAATATAACGAACAATTTTCATGGTGGATTATTTAAACGTGTTTATGAAATATCATTATTTGATGAACGTTCTTTTGAACGTGAATTTTTTCTTAAAATTGCTAAATCATTTCCATGTATCGAGGAATTACGTTTACATAATCGAGAACCACAAAAGAATGACAATCAACAATGGTCAATCATTGAATATCCTCATCTTATTAGACTTGATCTTGTTCAAACTCATGAAAATTATGTCGAACAATTTCTGAATAATACTAAAGTGTGTTTATTAAATGATATTGATCTTCGTGTGGATTATAATACTTTACAAAGAGTAGCAGGCAATTTTACAAGTGATGCTACACGAATCAATTGTTCTAAAATCAAATGTCTATTTTTATACAATGAACCAGAATTATCTCTAGATTTAAAAGATTATTTTCCTCTTGCAAAAATCTGCTGATTATTGTTATTTATTACTTGAATAAAATTTGAAATATGAAGAAAATAATGTTGTTTGATATTTTATAGGAAAAAGAAAATGTTATTATATCTTTGAAAGAGATAACATATGAGTTATGTGAATAAGAAAAAAGTTATTTTGCAAGAGAGAAGAACAATTTACCTAGAATTACAGTTGTCGATCTAATTGAATGTTATTAGAAGATATATAAACTAAATAAAGCAGCTTGCTTTTACTCTCAAAAACTATTTTAAATATTCATGTTGCCTGGACTGTAAAGATAAGGTCTAGAAATGCGAAATGACCTGTGTCGATCTATCTGTCTACTTGTAACATAACCAATAGTACGGTGTTCCTTAGACCGTCAAGGTAAATTCTAGGAACAAAAAAATCATCTATTTCTGTTGTCTGTCTATTTTTCATTAACATGCTGATTGAGAATGAGTATAGTATATCCTCTGAAGAAAATGAGTATTCATTTAATTGTTCAACAAGATTTGCTTGATTGTTAAGTCATGCACAAGTTTTACTGAGCATACAAATACTTAATCGTTGACAACTAATCAGTCATTTTAAAGATATAATTATAAATAGCAAGATTCATATATCATGAATAATAGCGTTTAATTTTTTTAAGAGACACGTCATGAGAAAACCAAGGATGTTCAGATATCAGAAAACATGTGGATCGGTAGAGGGTGTGGGGTGTGGGTGTGAGTGTTTGCGTGCATGAAGACTAGACACCCACACCCGCACCCACACCCTACACCCACACCCACCCACACCCACACCCACACACCCACACCCGCACCCACACCCACACACCCACACCCACACCCACCCACACCCCACACCCACTCACACCCCACCCACACCCACACCCCAAAATATCATCTTCAACTCCAAGTAATGTTTTAACAGAATCGATAGAAAGCTTTTCCATCAATTCTTTTACAATGTTTCCACATTTTTTACTTACTAAATCAAAAAAATCTTCACCATGATAAGAAAGAACTTCGTCCGGTAATTCGAAATAAGAATACATTTTTGAATTGATACTTTTGTTTTTTTTTCCTAAAATATAAGCATATAAATAAAACTTTAACTTTTAGATAAAGATTTTGAGTACCTTCCCAGTGAAAAATAATCATGGAAAAAAACGGAAGTGAACGCGTTCAGCAAAACATGGAAAGTTACCTTTCTCATGAAGAACGCGTTCTATAGTTTGGCGAATGCGTTCATGAGCGACAAGAATGAGTTATGCATCTGAAGGAATGCATTCTTTGTCGTTCCACGTTTTCATAGGATGGTTTCTTCCCGGTTCAAAATCGTTCTTCATCTGAAGAGAAAGCTTTCTGAACAGTTCATTTTTGGGACGGTCAGGATCGGATTCCATGAAAATGAGAATGCTTTCTTTGACCTTCTCTCAAGAAATACTTGAGAATATATTCTTCGAACTGATGAACACGTTCCAGACAAGTCGACATCATTCTTAGGGAGAAAAGAACGCGTTCTCTGTCATTCTCCTAATTGTCGAATGCTTTCTCGTGAATTCAAAAATCAGTTTTAAAAATACAGAACACCTTCTCGTCCGTTTCATAACCCACATAAAATTATCCTGTTATATCGAGAAAGAATATTGATTAGCTCCAAATGGATTCGTCAGTGTTCTCAAATATATTAAATTTTTGTCTTATTGTTTTCTGCATAAAAATTATCATCATAACTCTTAGTTCTTTTATCAACGTCTGTTTTCAACGTTGAGCTTTTAGCTATCGATATCACGACAGTCTTTTTTACAACATGCTGACAAAAACAATAAAAAGAGACACAAGCAATGTCCAACAATAATAAGGATTCTAGAAAAATTCGGAGTCGTTCGGCAAACGAATATACAACAATTCTTCTCTTTGATGAACTTAACAAGCTTTTCCCACAATTTGTATTGTATTGTCCATTTAGCTTTATTACATCTTAATAGAAACAATCATTTCTGTTATCTAGTAAAGAGAGAATTAGTGTCCTTTTGATTATTTTCGATACTAATTTAAAAAAATCATATTTTTAAAAATTCATTTAGTTTTATTCAATTTTAACAGAAATAATCATTTTTTTCATTGGGTAGAGATAAATTAGTGTTTCTTTAGTTTTATTTCATCTTAGTAGAGACAGAGTTAGTTTTCCTTCGATTTTTTTTCCATCTTAATAGAAATTGTCATGTTTTCCACCTAATGGACATAGAGTTAGTGTTCTTCTAATTTTGTTCGACCTTAATCGTAATGGTCATTTTTTCATCTAATACAGTTAGAGTTAGCTTTCTTTTATTTATATTATTGGACGAGATATAAGAAAATACACTAATGACAAAGTATACCAATTCGTCAATCATTTTATTTAGTTTTATTCAAAAACAATAATGAAGCTTTCCACCTATACACAAGGTCATTATCAACAAAAAATGATGGAAAGTAAAAGATATGTACAAAATTGTTCTATTCTTTTCCCTTATTCTGTTCTGACTATTGATAAACATTGCAGTGTGATCGAAATATTATCTCTCCCTTTCATTGCAATGTTTATCAATGGTCAGAGCAGAACAAAGGACAAGAACAATTTTGTACATATTTTTTACTTTCCATCATTTTTTGTTGATAATAACCTTGTGTATAGGTGGAAAGCTTCACTATTGTTTTTGAATAAAACT